CCATGGGGTTCGCCATGAGATAGACAACTTTATCAGTGGACACCTCCATCCGAGCTGCAATTTGTCAAAGTTACTAGCTGTTGGGTTTACATCCATTTCGAGTGAAAGTGTTTGGTGAAGAGAATCGAAGGCCGATTTGATCAAAGACGATGTTTCTTATTAAGACAGCCAAGGAAATTGGCTGAGTATTGGAAATATTCATATGAATATTCTAGATTAATAGATCAACAAAGTATTAGAGGGGGATCTTTTTGTTAGTCTTGATGTGGTATCAATGTATACTAACATCCCAGTTCAAATAGCCATTGAAGCCTAGATGAATACACAGGAATTATTGGGGATGCAAATCTGAGCAAAAGCTCAATCTTAACGATTCTTAATCTATCCATGAGCAGCACATAATTTACCTTTAATGAAAAAGTTTATGAACAGGTGCAAGGCCTAGCAATGGGATCTTGCTTGACTCCTATTTTAGATAATAATTGCATATCAAGAATAAAGGAACACTTCATGAAAGAGGTAAGATTGACACCCAAACTGTTAGTTAGATGCATGGATGACTACTTTGCGATATGGCAACATAGCAAGGATAGTTTAGATAATTTTATTATTATTATTAAACAAATTGACTTCAATGTTAAGTAGACAATGGGGATGGAGATGAACAATAAATTACCCTTTTTAGATGTCTTAGTGGTTAGAGCAGATGAGAAGTTAAGCAGGGATATTTATAGAAAGCCAACACATGCTGGCTTTATACTTAACTTCTTCTCCAATCATAGCTACAAAACAAAGGTTGGAGTTTTAAAATCTATAATTATTTGAAGAATAAGACTAGCCGATAGAGACAATTGTGAAAATGAACTGGATCCAAGCCCAACTTTTTTCGCAAACCTACAAGCCTCCCATGATGATTTATTTCCCGATTTGGCGAGTTGCACTCGGTACCAAGATTGAGGCTACTCACTGAGGATATCGGCGAAAATTCTGGCAATACACCCTATCAATCACTCTTCAGAGGCTGGAAGAAGATCAGGCGAAAATGAC